GCATTTGGTTCACAATTGGCGACATTTATGCCCGGCTAATAGAAGAGTATTCAAATTTGGTATGGTGAAGTTCGCTGCTAAAACATAGTAAGAATCAGTGGTATTAAATTGAAATGTTCTTCTGAAATGTATGTTAAAAAACAAGAGTTTATAATTATTTTACAATCATTCATTGCAGCTAACTCATCTTATATAGAACAGAATTTCCCAATTGTATCTCAGCATTTCAGTACACTTTTAACGCAGTTTGAATATTCTAATAATTTAGTTGATTTGTTTGATATGCCATGCATGATTTGTTGGTCATTTGGCTTTTCTGTTAAGGTTTCTTGTAGACAGAAAATAAATAACAACCGTAAGGTTTATCTTGGAGGAAAAGGAAGATGGTATTTCCTAAGGAAGCAGTGTTTTTGTCCGGATGTATAATGCATGCTTTGATACATTTTCTTCATAAGATAATTGCAATCAGTAATACCTTTTTTAAAATTTCTCTCTGCAATAGTTATTCTTTAGTGTCCAAATGTACCTTTTGTGCACTCTGCTGAAATATTGTGTTTGTTATTCTTTAACCCTCTCAGCGTTATGGCCGGAAAATTCCACATAGAAGGCTGCCTTCTATATTCATTACAAATGAAAATTTCTGCTAGCTTTTATTGTATTTGATTTCAGTTTGGATGTATATTGGAAGAAAAGGAATCAAGGTACAAAATGAGAGAGAATTTTTTAATTAAAATAAAGAAAATACCACTTATTCATGACATTTTGAGGAACTTTGAAATTTCAGGGCTAAACTAAAACCTCCAAGGTTGCTTTGCATTTCTTCTTATCACCAAAAAGTACCAATGATCAAATGATTAATATATCATATATATTACATCAAATGAATTATCAGAACTGTCAAGATACTCAATTTAGACTATAACAGTATTGTTATATGCATTAAATCAGGACTCTCATTCGTAAATTAAAATAAATAAATAAATAAATAAATTGCAATTTAAATAAACCCAAGAGGGGGGAAACTAGTTTTCATTATACAGTATAACAATAAAAATAAGATACAACTTAATAAAGAATCTTTTATTATAAATAAAGTATCTTTTATTTAACTGTAATCAGAATTCTCATTCTGTTCAGTTCTCTCCACATCTATTTTTTGTTCTTTCATTTTTTTTTTCAAACATTCTTTGTATCCTTTATGGCAAGTTCCTTGTAGGACTACATTTACCAATTTTTATTTAGTTTTCCTATATATAGCAGTTTTCATTAGCTCTGTTTATTGCCTGTTTTGCCATTAGTTTCAGTTTCTAGTTTAATTAAGTATTCTAGTATGTTTTTACATGCTAGTAACATTGATTTATTATCAATCTTTAATTTCATTTCACGACAAATTTTAGTAAGATGCACCTTTTTCATTACTGTATTTCTTTTAACCAAATGTTTAATTTCAATTTTTCTAAGCATTCACATCTAAAATTTTGAGTCTATCACCATTTACTTATTTCTCTATAGAGAACAATTTTCAAACATTGTGAGTGTGGCTAGTTAGTAGGTATCTTATTTAAAAATGTTCTATAAAAGTTTTTAAAAAAATGAACTGTTTCATTAACATAAAATACAAAGAATAGCCACAATTTTAAGTTATTTTATCACTGTATGTAATACACGCGTGAATGCAAAAATCGTAGCAAATAATGCAATAATCCCATAAGCTATCACGAAGACTGTTCAGTAAAGAATGTGTTAAAATAACTTTCACTTCATTAACTCACCACCAGATGCACTATGCAGGAAGCAGTTTATTCACAGTTTTGAAGATGCCTTGCCTGCTAGTGTGAAATTGTAGAAAATAATAATAAATTAAATTATAAAGTAATGATTAATTGTAAAGTAAAAAATACTATTTTATTGTAAATATTATAAATTAATTTGCAAAGTGTTTTTTGTAATTTTTCTAATTGTTTGTTTAATTGTTTTAAGTTCTTAATTTTTCACTCTGTGTTTTTAACTGCTGTTCAACTGTAATTTCTGCATGCCATCTCACCAAGATTTAAATTGATGATCTATAATCCAGAAAAACCCTAATCCTGAATCGCCGAAGTCCCGATGAGTCCGGATTAAAGACTTTGTACTGTATAAGCATTATTATTAGTTCTCAAACTTCTTATATCTTAAGAAGAGATCTACATTTTTTATATTATTTTTCTAAAATTAGCATTTTTGAGAATAATTTTTTTCAGTTTTACTTTTATACATTTTTAAAGCATCTTTGTATAATTATATCTGACTTCTGACAAAATTCAGGTATGTTTTTGGAATTTAGGAAGTGATCTTAACTTTTGTTAACAGATGTTAAGTGAAGTTTTCTGAAGACCATTATTTAACACTGAGCAACACAGGCTTTTTGACTTCTCATGAAGACTTGTGTTTAAATAGCATCTAATAGCTAAATTTGCATAATTCTTTTAGTTTCTGTTTTCACAAGCTTACATTCATTCAGATGAAATTACATTATTAAAGAAATGACATTATTATTAAAGAGATGAAATTACATTACTATTCATTGAAATGAAATTTTGTTGTCACTTGTACATATTAGCTTGTAATTTACGATGTTTGCTTTCTTACTTTCTTTAATAATGTAATTTCATCTTAATGAATGTAAGCTTGTGAAAACAGAAACTAAAAGAAGTAATTATGCAAATTTAGCTATTAAATGCTGTTTAAACACAAGTCTTTCTATTTTCACAAGCTTACATTCATTAAGATGAAATTACATTATTAAAGAAAGCAAAATATCATAAATTACAAGCTAATATGTGCAAGTGACAAAGAAATTTCATGACTGGATGCAGCCAGTCATGCCACTCAGAAGGTTAAACAACTGTTAATGTCTTGTAGAATATTAGTATCCCACTGTACCAGAAGTTAACATTTTAGGTTTACCATATCTGTATCTTATGACAGCATAGTAATTGTAACAGCAATATGTGGTTAAAAAATTAAAATACAGTCAAAAGTCGTTAATTCAGACACCCATTATCCGGAATGATCTATAATCTGGACCTCAAAGCTACAAACTTTCTGCACATGCGTCGCTTTGACGCATGTGCGTAAGACCTTTACGGCAGCAAATATGCGTGCGCAATACGTTTACGAATGCGCGTTTAATGTATAACGTATGGTATAAGCTAAAATAATGTAATTCAGTTAATGTTGCAGATTGCGTTGTTCCGTAATCCGTAATCTTCGAATTGGATCCGGCTTTTTTTTTTTTTTTTTTTTTTTTGCAGACTGTTAGAGCAATTTTATAAAAGTAAGCTTAAACTTTCGATTTTGTCAAATAGAATTTCTGATATATATTTACTAATATGTAAAGGATCTACAAAGCGAAAGTATGTTTCGAAGTCCATTAAACAAAAAGTGGAATTGCTGCAAAAAATGGATAAAGGCATATCCTTTGTTTATCTTTAACACTGCAGTGCGAAATAAATTGGAACTTGATCTGTCAGCACTATCCTTATCTTCAGGGCAGATGTTTTTATTTTATTTGGCTTATAATTCCTTACTAAATGTAGTATTTCATCTCGATGTACTCCGTCTTTGATATGATTTAAATCAAATTCCTCGTCATTATAATTCGCTTTTGATAGCAAAGAAAGTGACAGAGGTTATTGAAAACGAAAAAATTTCGATTGACAAATTAGTCGGTATTCTCGACACAGCTAATTACAGGACTTGAACAGCGGAACTTTGTAACTGAACAAGGAATTATGTCTGTTTATAGAATTAAAGAGAATGTATTATCACATAAAAAACGAAGCAACTTAAACAACTTACATTGAAAGAAATGTTTAATAAAGTAAACAATAAATATTAAGCCTTTTTTTTTTGTAAATTTTGATACCCTTTAGATCATAATTGTTCTTTATTTCATAAATTACGGTTTCATATTTTTAATTTTATAATTTCTGCATGCCGTCTTTCCAGATTTAAACTGATGTTCTATAATCCGGAATCACCAAAGTCCCGACCAGTCCGGATTAATGACTTTTGACTGTATATGCATTATGACTAGTTTTCAAACTTCTTAAAAAGAAACCTAAATTTTTTATTTTTTAAGTTAAAAGTTTTTTTTTTTTTTTTTTTTTTTAGTAATTGGATTATCATAAAAAATTTATTTTTTTAAAAATTTTAATTTGTGCTTTCATTCAATTTAAACAAACCAAATGAAGTTTTATTTTGAATATTACTCATTACACCTACCTGTGTATATCTTTCTGCCATTGATAAAACTGTTGCATGAAAAGAATGACAGTTCTATTAAATTAAGAATAAATATAAAATAGATTTTATGAGATTAATTTCTGATTACACAAGGTGCATAAAATTGCCGATTTAATTTTCCATTGCCAAAAATATTTGTCTTTTTGTGTTTGCTGCCATATTAAATTTGTTGAGGTAGGAGTCTAGATGATGGCGGCCAGTAATGCACTGATATTTGTTGCACCACCGTCCATTTTTAAAATCATTAATGTTGTATTTGTAGTTAACTCGCATTCATATCTTATAGTTGCCCCACTTTAAGCAAGTCAAAATCTAGGAGAGAAAATTCATGGATGGATGATTACTTTCTCATCTTACTTGCAGTGATGTTATTGCACATTTGTTCATGATGTGTCACAAACAGGCTACCACACTGGCACTTGTGTATATTTGGCAACTAATGCTTCGTGTAAAGATATATGACTCAGTATACTAATATTTAGTATTTTACCTTGATATACCATTTTAAAGCAACTTTTTAGCACCTTATTCCATTTATTTATGAGAAAAAAGTAAATTAATCTTAGATTAAATGTTTTCTATAGCCCATTGTAGTTTTAAGTACAAAAGAAATTATTGCTAATTTATTAATTTTTGATCTTGATAAAATAAAAACTGTATCGATGTTGTAATTGTATGATTTTTAATTTTTAATTTTTTTTTTAAACTTCTAGATCATTCTTTGAATTTATTCAAATAGGAACAACTGTCCATCTCTAGTAAAGATCTCAAGATGCCCACCATTGGTATTAAAGAAGAGTTGCTGTTTAATGCTTTAGGGAGGAAGTATACTGAACAAGAGTTCAGTGATTTATGTTTTGAATTTGGTTTAGAACTTGATGAAGTAGTACTTGAAAAACCTGATCCTACAAAAGATCTAGAAGTCAGTGTATTCAAAATTGATATTCCTGCAAATCGTTATGATTTGCTATGTCTAGAAGGTGTTTGTAGATCTTTGCTAATTTTTCAAAATAAAATAGATATACCACGATACATTTTATCATCTCCTCAAGAAAAACAGAAGTTGATAATTGATGCTGCAACTGCAGAAGTTAGGCCTTTTGCAGTTGCTGCTGTATTACGAGGCATCACATTTACTCAGAGTAGTTACGATAGTTTCATTGATTTGCAGGATAAATTACACCAAAATATATGCCGCAGAAGAACACTTGCTGCTATAGGAACACATGATCTTGACACCATAAATGGGCCTTTCATTTTCACTGCTAAAGCACCTAAAGATATCAAATTTTGCCCCTTAAATAAAGATAAAAAATATACAGCAGAAGAATTAATGGATATCTATGCAAATGATGTGCATTTGAAACAGTATCTTCATATTATAAAAGATAAACCTGTTTATCCTGTTATATATGACCAGAATGGTGTAGTTCTTTCTATGCCACCAATAATAAATGGTGAACATTCCAAAATCACTCTTAACACAAAAAATATCTTTATTGAAATCACTTCAGTAGATCTGCATAAAGCCAAAGTTGTTCTTGATACTATTGTCTGCATGTTTAGTGAATATTGTGAAGAACCATTTGTTACTGAACCAGTGGAAGTTGTTGATCCCAGTGACAATATTGTGATTTATCCTGAATTAAAATATAGGACAGAAGTATTATCAGCAGAATCTATAAATAAAAAAATTGGAATAAATGAAACACCAGAAAGTATTGCTAAGTTATTAACGAAAATGTGCTTAAAATCAGAAGTTGTCTCAGAAAGTGGATCTTCTGTAGTTAAAGTTGAAATCCCTCCTACGAGACATGATATAATGCATGCACGTGATATTATGGAAGATGTTGCTATTGCATATGGTTACAATAACATAACAAAAACTATTCCTCAGACTGTTACGATTGCTTCACAGCTTCCATTAAATAAACTTTCAGATCAACTAGCACTTGAACTAGCACAAGCTGGCTTTACTGAAGCACTTACTTTTACATTATGCTCCAGGGATGACATCTCCACCAAGCTCAGAAATACTGAAGAATTATTAAAAGCTGTTCACATTTCCAATCCTAAAACTCTTGAATTCCAGGTAGTGAGGACTTCGTTACTTCCTGGTCTTCTAAAAACCATCAATGCAAATAAAAAAATGCCATTACCTATGAAACTTTTTGAGATATCGGATGTAGTAGTGAAAGATCCTAGCATGGATGTTCGAGCACGAAATGAACGAAGACTAGCTGCAGTTTACTACAATAAACGACCTGGTTTTGAAATCATACATGGCGTTTTAGATAGAATCATGCAACTTCTCGATGTTCCAAATTTAAATGAAAAGAATTGTGATGCTGGATATATTATTAAAGCATATGATAACCCTATGTTTTTCCCTGGACGCTGTGCTGAAATCATTGTATATGGTAAAACAATTGGCACACTTGGTGTCTTACATCCTGAGTCTGTGACTAACTTTGATTTGAATTTACCTTGTTCTGCCTTGGAGATAAATATTGAACCTTTTCTGTAATCAAATTGAATTTTTTTAAAACATCTGTGCTTGACAAATACATATAAATGCTGATTCTTATGTAAAAATGTTTGCACGTTTAAGGCTTGAAGGTTATACTTTTAATAATCATTCCCTTTCTTAATGAAATTACACATGCATATTGTTATGTAATTTAACCACTTGACATAAAATATGGCTTTATGTATATTTATTTGGCATCATATTTTTCATTGACTTTAAAAAATGTAAGAAGAAAGGAGAAATAAAAATGGGATACAATCATGAAGTTACTTTTTATGTTCTTGTTACCTTATATGAGTGGTTTCATTATAAATGGGCTTGTGGTTAGAATACTTAATTTTTATAATTAAGAAGTTTTTATTAAAATAGGTATGTTGCATCTAAATATTTCATAAAATATATTTTTTAATTATTAATAAATAATTCATAAACTGTATTTTTATTTTAATTAATTTTATGAATAATTCATAGCTATATTTCTCAGGTAGTAGTGTTATGAGTACAATTTTATTCATTTAGTGCATTAAGACCTCTCTACTTTTGTTGAAATATTCTGCTTCCATAAAATAAAATATACTAGTATGCAAAATGTAAGCAACTTTTCTGATTTGAGTATTAATTTTGCAAACAATCAACTGTGAGACGAGAAATTCATATTATAGAGGAACAATGTAATATATAAAGGATAGGAAAAGTATGGTAGCAAGAAAAATGAATAGAACATGTACAGTACAGATAAAGATATTAACAGTACTAAGCTATAAATTTAAGTCTGGAAAACATTTACTGTAACAGCCATCTGATAATCTACCAAGAAGTAACTCTTTATCATATTGTTATCTGTTTCTCAGTATAGACATTTCATTCAATTATCAGTCTCATTCTCTGTATAGGTAGTCTTTACAAATATATTAGTTTTGTTTCATATTTCATCATTTATTTTTAAAGAATAGGAATAATGAATTTGGGGTAGAAGAATAATGAACTACTATTTGCTTTCTAGGCTAAACCAAACATTCTATACAGAATTTTATATGATATTTGAAACATCTTTTATTAAAAATAGTATTACTGAAAATGTTCATAACTAATATTTATTAGACACATTATAAGCTGCATATCCATATGTTATAAACTACATATCTATTCGATGTAATCTTAAAAAGACTGAAATTATTTTAAATATGTTTGTTGCTCTTAAAACACTAAGCAAACCAGTGCAGTTTTAATTTGAAAGATTAAAATATGTCATGTTAAATCACTGGAAACTGTCTTTTTTGCTGGGTGCCATGGAAGATAAAGATTATATGTGATGTTGAATGGCAACACTCTGGGAATTGATTATTTTCTTAGTTTTGTTGAAGATAAATTGAAGATCTTATGTTTAATATAGTAACAATATTTGTCAAGTTATGTGAAAAATAAAGACATGGTATCACAGCTTAATATAATTATAAATGTAATAATAAATAAACTTTTGCTAGACCTTTGCTAGCCTGATTATTATTAGACAGGTTTCCAATGTCAAAAACATTTAAAGCAGCTTCATTTGTTTGTATTTTGTCATGAAAATAGCTTGATGCATAGCAAGATTTGTTTCCAGTCCTTTTCTAATAATAAGTGCTTTTCTTCTTTATAATAATAATAATACATGCTACTAAAATTACCCTTTAAATATTAAAAATTTTATCAAATGAGACTGAAAATTTCCCTTGAAGCAAAATAAGTAGATCTCAGGCTTTTCAGCAACTTAGATTTTTGCTTAGTTTATCTATATAATGAGTAATTTAGTGTGGCATTAAGAAAAAAAAAAAAAAAAAATATTTCTATTAACTATAGCTCAGATTTTAGCAAGTAATATGTAATTTGCAATATATATCTACATTATAAAGCATGTTACTTTGTTACATCATGTAATATCATATGTTCTCTTTATTGTTATTATTAGACATTAAATTTCATCTCATAATTGATTTTTTCATTTTATACAAATGTTTTATATTTAAGCATGAAAATAAAAATTACTGTACATTTGCATTATGTTTAAATACAATATTTTTAATTAACAAATTAAAAATTTTTTTATTGATTTCTTTAGTAATAGTTTCCTCAAGATTCACTTGGTTCCCTTCCACTGAGTTCCAGCTTAGCGTGGTATGATAATTCCACAGATTTATTTGGACAGTTAAGGAATGCAGTCTTCATTTTGATAGGCCTTTCAAAAGGAATTGTCATAGAATCTAGTATAAAAAGAGTTATGCTACTAAGTGTGCAAATGCATGAATTTTTTGTTTCTGTACTTAAATAAAGTAAAACATGCTTTCGCTATCTGCAGACTTCATGGAAGACTATCGGCTTTCTCCGCACAGCCTAGATTTTTTGTAATTACTGGTCTGTTTGTGCACAGTGGTGAGTTAAAATTGTCAGTTAAGTCTTACAAAATTTTTGAAAAGTCTTCCATATGAGGAAATGTAATGTTAAATGAATCTCATATTTGACAGTAATGTCTTCTGAAACCTATCAATAGCCAAATGGTTAAGACTGCTGAATTTTGCATTTTGAGCTAGGTTGGATCCCCACAAACAAGCCTTTTGCATGGACTTTCCAGTGTGTAATGAATGTCAATACAAGTAAATCTCCCTTAGGAAGTCTTCCATGAAAACAACTCTTCCCTTAAGTAGAAAACCTTGCAGTACTTAGTCAATTAAACAAACAGTTTGTATTGTAAAAGAGGTAATGTTCCATATTATTCTTCATGATAATCTGATGTACATTTGCACTAGATTTACTGTTTTGTCATCCAGTAGAAATGTAAAATAAATTGTGATTAGCTGAATTGGGAGTTTTTCAGTGCTGTGTAAGTTGATTTTTCAGCCTGTAAGGGGTTAATTAGTCTCGAAATGGAATTTTGTATTGATTCATTTCATAAAGAGCAAATTACTTTTCAAATTGTTGCTAGCAAATATTTATTGTATTATTTTGAAAGAAATTGAATAATGAAGAAACTGCATATGTGTAAGTATGTTTCTGTGCACTGCGAGAAAATGATGGTACCTAGAGCCATCGAATTTTGAATAACATAGTTTTCCATCTGAACGCGTGCCTCTGGAAGCCCGAAGTTTGAATTACTTATTTTATACTTTGTAAACCTTTAATGAATTTTTTTATTAACCCTTTAACGTCGACTTTTTGATTTATAAAAATGTTTACTTTCTTTGAATAAAATAATAAGAAAAATATGCGAGAACACTTTAAGGTGGTCTACTACAGCAGCATTACAATACTAAAAATTTTTTTACACGCAGAATCGCTAATTAAGAAACTATGTTGCGTGCAATTTGGCAGAAATATAAAGCAATAGGTCAGTTTTCGAATCACAATGTTAGAATCAGGTTTGAAATGAAATTTACTTAAATATTATATTTTAAAAAAATTAGTTTGAAATACGTAATTTTAATGTGTAGTTTGGAAAGCCATCAATAGATGGCGCTACGAGTTAAAATTTAACATTGTAATCTTATTTCTGCAAAAATTCACGAAGTAATTGATTTTGATATCAGTTATAAATCATATTTTTTTCTAAATAATATTTAGAAGCGTTTCATATATTCCTTTTATACACAGTTTTCACTAAACATTGTCAGCTGTCAGCAGAATGACGTTTACGGCAACCCTATGCATTGCTATTCCGCACTCGTTTTTGTTTAACATTTATTTGTACTGTGGTCAGTTTGCAAAAAATATGCGAAAATATCAAGGACGACCGAAAAAACATCCTGGTTTTAATAAAAGATCCAGAATTCAGCGTAAACGTCGAGCTCAAGAAAAAAATATGAAATTAAATTCCCGAGATGTGGAAGATTCCGAACAAGCGGATGTTTTCGAAAGGTGAGAAATAATTTATTCTTTATATCGACTACCCCGTGTTTATGATTTCGTAGTAAGTTAATTCCGAAGTAAAATATGCGTATTTTTTTTATTGAAGGTCAGAAATTATTGATACAACTGCATCTGTGTCAAAGGAGAATCATTGCCCGGATGATTTTTTTACAAAGTAAGTTTTTTTTTTTTTTTTTTTTTTTTTTTTTGTATGTGTGTGTATGAGGGGATGCTAATAATTGTTCAATTCTGTTATAAGAATTTATTCCTCCATTCACACTAAATTGTTGGGAAATATTGAAAGGGTAAATTCCAATTCACAAGGAATTGCTGAAATAATTGAATCTTTTCAAAAGTATGAGCATGTTCTTGCGATCTAAATTGAATTCACCATCATTACATGTATTATTGGAAATTTTATAGTCATATGTTTGCTACGAAATGCTTTGTCAGTTACCTATGGTATATTTTAACAGGTGTATGCACATTGCATTCATGTGCTCGGCTGTTCAACTTGCTTTTTTCTTTTATTATGTCATTTACTTGGATTGTTAAAACTTTCTTTTAGCGTTGGAACATTTTATGATCATTTAGTAAAATTTATATATAAATATATATTACTTGCTTGCTTTATTTATGGTTCTGTGTATTTGTCATGTATGCATGATGTGTAGTCTTTGAAAAATATGTCACAAATGGTAAATTCCACCAAAAGCTGAATTGAATTGATATTGGGATGCAGGTAATTAGAAAATATCTGCTGTGTATTTTGAGCGTAAACCAAACTAGTGCCAAGAATGGGACCAATACGCTTCATGCTTGCTTTCTAGCCTTTTTGCCATTGTCCAGAATTGAATTATCTCCAGTCGAAAAGGGAATGAATGCTTTCTCTGTATAACATTAAAATATCTGTCTGATCAATAATCTACCAATAAGAAACATTTTCATATGTTATGTGACAGACTTTCTGCAAACAGAAGTCCTCAAGCTCTGTTCTTGTACATGTTTTTTAATTGTAGGTTCAGATGTGTACTTCTCAAAGGAATTCTTCTCATAGGAAGATTGATCTGAACATTTAAAAAATATATTCTGCTTTTAAGGGGCCTAATATTTTATGCCCCTAAAATTAATATTGAAATTTCTAAAATGTTGAAAAATATGTCATCTGGATTCTGTACAAAAAATATAATCCCCTTTTTCATTTCTGCATTTGCAATTCCTGCATTTTCTTTATTCCTACATTTTTTAATTGGAAGGAATTTCATTCGCAGAGCCCTCTAATTTATTCTTACAAATCATGTAGTAATGTACCATTTTAGATAGATATAAATAACACATTTTGTAATTTTTCTAAACTGTGGTTATACAGCATGATATAATAGCTACACAGGGTATGGCGAAACAGTATACAGCAATATCTGTCGCACTGTCTGAGATGGGTGGTAGTCATACATAGCTTAATGCTTAAATTTGTTATGTGTTATTTATTTATTCATGTTTTTTTTTTTTTTTTTTTTTTTAATTATGTTATAGCAGTTTATTTCTTTCATTCTTAGGTCCGGAAGTGAAAAATTTGACTTTTCTACGCCAGAAGTTACAGCTAATGTTCCTAAGACAAACCAGGCTTTCCTGAGGTAAGTTGGTTTATTTTTAAAATAGATATTAGCTGTGCATGATATTACAGTTACTTAATTATGGTTAACTAATTATGTATTAATTTAGAAGTCAAGCAACCAAAATCAGCGTTATATTTTCAAATAGTGAATATTTCAAAATATGATGCTGATTTTTGTTGCTTGACTCTCAAATTAATACTTGGTCGGTGTGTTATTGTATCTTAATTAAACTAATTATGGTTCTTTTCTTCTCAGTTCTGATCTGGACATTTCAGTTATTGACTCTGACGTAGAAGGTAGAAATACAAGCTCTCTTTTGGGGTAAATATGTATTTCTCTATGCCAAAATTAAAATGTCATCATTTATGTTTTTCTTTATGGTGTTACATTATGTTGTTTACATACTGATAGCTATTAAAACTGTTAAATATAATATTGTAGCTATCAAAAAGAGGGGGATGAATTTGATTTGTACCAAATTTGGACGTTTTGCATGAAAGAACTTGAAAATAAAAGATTTTTTTAAAAATATATTCATTGAAATCAGTGAAATTTTTCAGACGGGACACTGAAGCAAATGAAAATATTTTGGGGTTTGATTCTTTTGATGGGAGCCTCATCAATAAGCCTACTATCTTTTTTAAATATTGCTTCTTTTTCATTGTTTTCATGATGTTTTATGTTCCCTTCATGAAAGAGATTTTTAATAATTTAAATTTTGTTAATAAAATATAACAAAATGAAATCTGTGATTATGTGGCTGTTATTTTTTCCATATATATTTATTTGAGGAAAACCAAAATTTTATTATTTTACAGAATTTTTAAGAAAAATATAAGGATAAAATTTTTTAAATAATTCTGATTACTACCTTTGCTTTCCTCTCATAATGTGCCTCAAATTAGAGCAATTAGACAACAACATTTAAGTCGTGATCTTTTTTTTTCCAAGTTTTTTTTTTTAGGCTTAGGAGTATAATTGCTTATCCCCACAAGACAGTGCATCTTCTTAGTATGCCATCCTAAGGCTCCGTTCACATGATGGTATAAATGTCATAGACGCATAATCATAAGGCACAAAATGTGGGAGTTCCATTCACACCTGCGAGAGAGGGTCTAAGCCATAGCCAATTAGAGAAGCTAAATTTGTGCATGCATGTATGTGTCTACAGCTTTCTCTCTCAATAGGTTTTATGTATATGCTCTGATTGGCCGACTCTTATATCAAGTCGGCACAAAGTTGAAAACTTCAAGCTTAATGCCCAAACTAGTTTTTGTGACATAGCAAGGTCTGACTACAAAGCGTTGTTAGTTGGGAATTATGACATTTATACAACGGCTTGAATAGAGCCTTAGAAAGCCATTTGGTAACTGAGTTATCCACCATGAAAGAGTTATTCTTGCCGTTGTAACCTTTAATGTATTAAAACTTGTTTTGTTGTACCCATTTTTTTGAAAATAAAAGTCTGTGTTCCAATTGAATTGCTTCATTTGTCAAGAATTCCAGTATAATTAGGAGGCACCGCGAGATGAACTCGCGATC